CCTCAAACTCCCACCTCCCGCCCCCTTCTGCTCCTCCTTTCCAGCCCTTATCCCCACTTCCCCGAGCCCACTTGACCACCGGCCCCTGCCCCCCTCTTCCTCAGAGGCGCGTCGCAGCAATGTCAGCTGTACGTGTGTTGGTGTTCCCCGAAGCGCGACCGCGCGACGCCTCGCTCGAGCTCCACTGTCGTTTGCTGCAATTGAACGCCCAGCGCCTGGTCCCGGCATACGGTGTCCCGGTGCCAATCTCCCAAGCACAGCAGTCCCCGGCCGGCGGCAGTGGTCCTGGTGGCGGCAGCGGCAGCGGCATTCCCGGCGTCGCGCCCGGAGTTCCCATCCCCCCTGGGCCCGGGGCCGGGTCCGGCGGCTCCGGCATCGGGTCCGGCAGTCTGTCCGGCACCGGTCCCCTTGCCTTCACCTCCTCGCTGGTGGCCGGCGACGACCACTCGGCTCCGCATGACAGCCACCGGGCGGCCAGCAGCGTCCCCTTCGGCACAGCCTGGAGCTATGGCATCAATGTTCTCCGGTCGGCCAGCAGCAGTCTCCTGGCATCGGTGGCAGATGGGTCACCTGGCACCGGGGTCGCGGCCCCGAAAAGCCCAGCCTCCAATGCGGCCGCTGTCGATGGGGCGGCCCCTGTCGCCGGTGGCGATGGCGGGCCGGGCCCCGCCGCACCAGCCACCTCTGGCCACCCCACCACCCCGCTGTATATTTGTCTGTCCCTGGCACGCGGCGGGCTGGACCTGGGCGGTGGCGGCGGCACCGGGCATCTGATCATGCAGGACCCCCGGGAGTTGGGGTTGCACCGGTTGCCGGAGGTCATCAGCCAGCAGGCGGCCGCCTTGCAGGCGCCTGCTGGAACGGCGGATGCCGCGCTGGCCTTGCGCGCGCGTGCACACCTCTGGGGCCCAGCCCTACAGGGCCCTCTGACCACCAAGCAGCTTCCCGGGACTGTCGGCCTGCCAGTGGCCACGGTCATCGGGCCGCAGTGCGTGGTCGGGCGCTTTGTGCCAGCTACAGCGCCGGCTGCCACTCCGGCGGCCTCTCCCTCGACGCCTGCGCTCGGATCCAGCGCGGCGACCAATGCCGAGGTGCATGCCCTGCTGTCCGGCGGGCTTGGACCCGGGCCGCTGGAGGGCCCTGCCGTTCCGCTGGACTTCTACACCCCGCTGACGCTGCCCCTCCCTGGGAATGTGGTTTCGCGCGACATCAGCCACATTCTCCCGCGCATGCATGGGCTCCTCCACCGAGCGTCCATCCAGGTCGAGGTGCGTACACGAGCTCCCTGCCCCCTTCGGCTCTCTTTGCCATCTGCTTTGTCCTTTCCATCTGCTTTGCCTGCGACGGGCTGCCCTCAATGTCTCACCCCTCCTTGCTCGCGCCCTGCCCATGTCATGTTCTTTCCTTCTCCTATCTCTCTCTCTCTCCCTCCCTCCCTCCCTCCCCCCCCCCCACCCGCACCATTG